CCTTACATCTGGGTCCTGACAGAGGACAGGAGGCCTGTGGATGCTGCTGTCAGCTCCAGTGTTATCATCTAATCTATCTTTCAGTCTGCAGCCCAGGTCTAGTCTCTGCAAGGCCATTACTTTGTGCTTTATTTATGCAGCTTTAACCTTGACTTTCACACACATCGTTGCAGATGCACAGTTGTGTACATTGTGTTTGCAGACTTTTTGTTGCTGGGTGGAGTTAATTGGTGAAAACACACAGTTTGACAGTTGTTGATGAAGGAAATATGTTAATATGTAAATAGCACTGTCCGTTTCACTTGGACTTTACAGATGACAGTTTCTGATTTCAAATGACTCAGTCTAGTTGCCAAGTTGGCCACTGTAACTGAAATCCAACATTTTAATCTCCAGTATCAAGTATCATTTCAATGAAATCAGGATGGATGAAGCAGCTTGTTTTTATTGTTTGTTTCCAGCATCATACATTAAGACTGAATGTTGTTTCAGTTTTAGCTAAAACCAAAACATTGCTTGCCTGGAGAAGATACAATTTGGCAAAATGTTAAGCAACATGTTGCCCAAGTGTTTAGATAAGTTTCCATATTTATCATATGACAGCATTAAACATCATGCAGACAGTATGATGTGTGCATATGCTGTGAACTCAGCAAAGATAGAAAAGATCACAGGAAACCCAATTAATAGGGAACAAAGTGCCCTGTATTTTATGATGGATGAAGAGTGACAGACATTTTAACGCAGCGTCAAACGACTGACAGGAAGCAATCATTAATAGGCAGGACAAATCATAGGCTCTGATGAATACAATCTTCAAGCTTAATTACACAGTGTCTTCTGCACTGAACAGTGCTGAATGAAGCTGACACCAGTCAGTGAGAACATGTAGTCTAATCAAACAGGCACATTTCAGGTTAGACCTCAAAATCAACTAAAACTATAAAATAAGTGTATAAACATTATCTTTTTTTAAACAATTGAACATTTCTCTGTGTGGCATTGAATGGTTTCAATCAGTTTATTTTCATGTTTCATGTTTCATGCCAGTTGTATCCATACACACTTGGTTAATATCCATATAATATGTAAGAAAATGTATATCACTCAAATGGCACTGATTCAAGAAACATCTTAAAACACATGACATATTTCACAATAAGTTTCAAGTCGTGTTTTTATTTAGTCTAGTTTTTTTTAAATCATTTTGCCTGTGTACCAGCATCTACAATATAAACACACACAAATGAAGCAGTTCAGTACATTTGCTCAAGCACTGTAGCTACATTATATTTCGACTCCACACATTTCACAGTGAGACTATTAGTTACAGTATAGTCACTTGTTACTTTGTAGATTATGATTTTACAGTACATATACATAAATTAACACAAGCTCCATCTTGACCAGCTACATTATTAAAATGTTTTTTACATGTTAATGCACCAAAATGAATAATAATCCATTAATATTATATGTAATATTATCACTCTTAAAGAATCCAACCTCTGTAATGCTTATTTTTTACGTTTGATACTTCAAGTACATTAAGCTGATTATCATTTAAGTACAGTTTTCATTGCAGGCCTTGTAATGAAGTATTTAAATTGTGGAATTGCTACTTTTATGTAAGTAAAGGATCTGAGTACCTCTTACCCCACACCACATACATACAATACAATTTAAAGTAGTCACTTATTTCCCAGGGGTGTCTGTTTTTGAAGAACAAGAGTTATTTCTTTGGCATGTCAGCACTGCAAGCTGTGCACCTGGGTGTGTGCCGCTTGTGCTGCAATCAACCTGGACAGACTACACCATGATCAAATCCTTTAGGACAACAGGAGAGTTTCTTTTGCAGAATGTGAATGTGCTGATTTAGCTGACGAGCAAAAAAAGTGCAGTGAAATGAAACATCTCCAAGGTGGAATTTTACAATCAAATTAAATTGGGAACTTAAGCAAGTGACGTTGCCAACACAATACACTAAGGGACGGCTCTGGGAATGAACACAGAAAGATCTGACAATGCACAGCGTATGTTTTGATATCTGTTTCCCGTTCAGACAGCGTATAGGACTGAGATACAAGAGTCAGCGTTATTCTACTGGCATTAGTTTTGCTATGAGGTGCAAGCTGTTCCAATAAAATGGCTTCCTGCTGTGCTGGAGAAACCTGCCGTCTTTTGTTCTCAGCTGTTTCTACCTGCTCATATTCCCTTTTTAATATCTTTGGTATTTTCCATCCATCATCAAAATAGGTTTTAAGCTTGCTACAGGCTCCATCACAGCACCATTATTTTATCTCTCTTTTGTCTACTCATCTTGATCCCATACAGTCTCTTCCTTCCTTCTTCTCTATCCTCCTCACGCTTTGTTATCCATCATCGGCTGGCACTTTGCCAATCAGTGATGCATATCAGCTTGCTTTTACCGTTAATTAAATAGATCCCTATTTCTCTCTTTCTCCAAGTCCCTGAATTCCACTCTCCATTTTATGATTCACAGCATTCCTCAATCTTCCAACATCATCATTTACTCTTCCTGTCTCTGCTCTGCACTCTGGGAATTTCTTCATGAATACCTGACCTATGACTGATGAGCACACCTCTGTTCATATCAACCAGCCAGTTGATCCGTGTCAGCCCAGAAAATGAAGCACCAGTCAAAGCATTTCACTAAATAATTGTATTTGTAGTGTAGACATTCAGTTTATATCGTTAAGACTCTAACCCGTAGAAGTCCTTACATATATAGAGGATGTTGACAGCAGTAATTGAAGAGCAGAGCGTCCAAGATCATATATGGCCTGGATGCGCTGCCCATGCCCTTGACTGGTTAATGAGGAGGAAATACTGCTAACGGCCTCGCTAATCAACTCCTGCAAGAGCTCTGGGATGAAGAATGAAGCTTTGGGAATGTAACATGCATCTCTAGTATGTGTTGATGTAGCAATGTGAGCAGCACATACACACAGCAGTGAGAAATAGTAGATAAGGCATATGTACTATGTAAGCATTTTTATTGATATGTGTATTTTTCCATTTTTATCAGTCAAATGTGATGTGAATTCAATTAATTGAACGAATATCTAAAGCAAATACTGCGTGTGTGTTCCTTTTATCCATGTATATTCTATGTTTATATACACAGCGTTATTATTATAACTGCATGATAACTGTCACTGACCAAACACATTTTTCCACACTGTGATCACAAACCACAGTCTATGTCTTGTTCTCATTGCAATGTGATTGTGTACACAGTCTGTTATTTTGCTGTCAAGTTTATGACCTCTGAGCAAGCACTGTAATACGCTTGCTCCAATCTGAAATATGTGGCTGATCACCTGTCATACCTGTATAATTCTCATCGTCAGTTGCTTCAGGCTCATCTTCATTTTCAAAGTTACTATCATCAAAACCCTCCCGAGGCTCAAGTGATCATCTGCTGATCCACATGTTGAAAATGTCTTCTAATGATCAAGGCCAGGTAGCCCACCGCTATCGGCCATCAGGAACATTTTTAGGTACTTTAACTAAATGTGCCATGCAACCCATTTACTGACATCAAAGAAAGTAATAAACTTACTTGACACACTATTATGTTACTGTAAGCCATCAAAAATTTGGTATCAGTGATACAAAATATGAACACAACAATACTGGCTATTTCCTGACACCTGCCTTAAAAAACGCTCAATCATATACCTCAGAGAAAAACATAATAAAAAGAAAACAGTGAGGCTACTTTTTGACTTTTGGAACCAGAAAAGTGCTAAAAACAAATAGTTTGAGGAATATAAAAAACTTGAGTATCACAAATGTCTCTAAAGACCCAAAATATGGGTTTATATGCATACATACAGTCTGTATCTTCATGTTTGTATTGTATTTTACTTACTTAAATATTTATTTTTTCTTTAAATTTTTCTTCTTAAGTAACAGAGCACTGACAAGGGGATGTTGATGTGTCTTATTTAAATAAAATTAAGAAACTGATCAACTATCAATTCTGCAGTGGTTGCTAACCTTAATGGTAAACGACCCAATGACTCAATGTCGAACCAACTTCCCACTCACTATTTAGAACAATGCCGGTACAATGCGCAAATGTTGGAGGGAGCAAATGAAAGTGTGTGTTTATAAGTAGCTCAGTGTATGTGTTGTGTTTGTGCAATTGTTTCTGTGTGCACAGGTAAGTGGAATACTTTGGTCACTAAAACAATCCACACTAATGGAAAAGCTGCTCCTCTGAATAAATGAGACTCCGTGCAGTGTACTATTCTAATCCCGAGCGCCTGAGGGACTTTGCTCCAACATAAAAGACTAAAAGAAACTCTTGATATCTAAATGTTCACAGCAACTGCTTGTTAGTTTGTTTATTTATTGCTGTCACGTTTTGCAAAGCACACTGATCTCTGCGGATGCGGATGGAGGAAAGTCGTGCTGCATGGCTTAATCATCATCTCAATGCTTCTTACAGGCAGCTTTACATTAAAATGTTTATCCCCGCTTGTCACATGAAGAAGGTGGACAAGTGCAGGCAATCTGTTGTGTCATTATTGATCGGGGATGAGGAGATGAGCAGGATATACGCAGTGTGTGAGAGTGTGTGCTTGCAAGTGTGTACTAATCAGGGTGCTTATGTGTGAGTTTTCCTGTGTGTATGTGCTCATGTGGAAGCGTTGAAGTGTCCCTGTGTAAACATGTGTGTCAGACTGTGTGTGTGTGTGTGTGTGTGTGTGTGCAAGATAAGTTTCCAGGTTAACAAAAGAATGATTGAGAGCAGCAGCATATGACCCAGAGGTTACAAACCATTTCATAGTCCAGTGAACCTAAATTCAGACATAACCCAGCCCTGTCGGATTGTAGAAAGGACTGTATGTGATTGGAAAAAGGAAGAAAAGAAAGCAATTGAAATATAGAAAAATCAGACAGAGAACTCTGAAGAGATATAAAAGTATAAAAGTAATTTAAACAAAATCTAATTCTGTGCATTCCAGGTCTGAGCGTGAGCGAGGAGCCTCCTCTTCACAGAGTGACCACCGGCCCTCCATCAACAGATCACCAGAGAGGGGCACCGTGTCGCAGCAACAGCCTCCAGCCCCCCTCTACCCCAGCCCTGCCCCGGCGCTACCTGCCCGCCCAGCCAAGAAGCTCCCCTGGAGGTCAGTTGAAGTTTTTTTAGGAGAACAGGAGCATGATTTTTGGTTTAACCTAATAGATAGAGATACAAAAAAATTAAATATTTTGTAAGAATTTTCTGATTTGGGTGATTTCAGTCAAAATATGTATTTCAGTTTGTGAAAGAACAATAAATTGGGTTTTTAAAGCCAACATGCACGGTGCACGATGCATGAACAAAGCTCCGTGCATGTTGGAGAGATAGAATTTTCCATCAGCAACAGATTGTGTCCTATTGTCACATGCTGTTGTCACATATGTGGTGAACAATTTAATAACCAGCAAGCCATACATAATGATCATGACAGTATCAGGTGGTTCAAAAGCAGAGGAATATTCAGCTAAATGTCAGTAAAGAACAGGCTTTATAGTCAGTACTTGGGAATCATAGAGCAAGAGCTTATGTTCTATATACTTTGCACAAATGTTAAATATTTATATAGCAAGACATCAGTGGTATATAAGGCACACAGTGTTCTCATTGGAATAATTCAATGCTGTTAAACTCTAAACTCCATATACAGTGTAGGAACTATCTAAGCACAAGCACCTCCTTCAGGGGTTGTTGAGAGGCATTTTGGGAAATGCTGGAAGCCAATAAAGTAACACTTGGCCACCTCACTTCTAATTACAAAATCATGCACATAATGTATTAGGCTGTGTTAGGGATATCCAAGAGTGGACCTGCCTTTTAAGCGTTCGTTTCAACCATTTATTCCAGTGTACTTCTGTTCATGTAAAATACCACAATCAAAGGGTTTAAAATACCCTTTTACCCGCTTAAAGTACCATAAAACACAAACACCACGCATTTAGCATGTTCTTCACGGTCTACCGTTAATACATTTTTATGAACCTGTCCTGGTTGAATGTGCCGATACAGTCTGTTCAGAAGCAAGGAAGCGCACCGGCAGTGATGCTTTTCACACACAGTTGAGTTTTTCACACGCAGAAATTAACACCAGAAGCCCTGTAGTATCACACTTCTCTCACTCACACTCACTGAATGTCTTTAAACTTTTACAGCGGCTGATCCATCTTTGCTGTGTGACCGGAATATCTAAAAACACACACACAACGTACCTGGGCAAAAGGCATTTTAGACAGCAAAACAATGTAGACATGAACTGTTGTATCGTTGCCTACAGTTTTTTTCCCCTCCAGCCAGGGTTTGTATGCAGACAGTGTAGTGGCTGTGCGTCTCTCACCCTGTGTTTCTGTTGCCCTGAGCTGATTTTAAATGTGCTGTAAATTATTGATGTAGAAGTTCCTGAGGAGTCCCTGTCAAACTGCAAGTCATACACAGACACCACTTTTTATCTGTGTAGTGTATTCAAGTTTTGTCTGTCTCAATCCAGTACTCACACATTTTGTCAGACACACACACACACATCTTACCAGCCCCTGAAGGTTTCAGACAGAAACCTTCTGTGCAGAAAGCCCATAACAACCTTCCACCTGAGACTCTCTCACACACACACACACACACACACACACACACACACACACATTTGGGCATAAGGCTCAAATTCAATTACAATGCAAACATGCTGATATTCCTGATAGTTACACAATCCTAACAACTTTTTCATTTCATGAGAAATTAATTCTGGCATCCACAGAATTGGCCAAAGAACAAGGATGCCCCACAACGTTTATGTGCTTGCCAGATAAAAAGAAAAAATCTGTGATTGCGTTAGCCTTTTCACATAAAATGTAGGATAGTTTAGCTTAAAACAGTGCTTCTGCAGCTTTTTCCTTAAGGGACCCCTTTTCTATAATTTAGTAAACCAGCTTAGTAAACCTGCTTAGGTGACATACTTTATGGATATCCCATATTGTATTAAAAACTGTACAATTAACCTAAATAGAGAACTCAGTAACTGCAAGATGTTTGTGTATAGGAGAAATTTGCATACATTTCGAGCATTTTATTTTCTGTTTAGGGAGCAATTCTCTGTCTATATTATCTATTATAATTTTTAACAATCACACATACTTACTAGGCTCCTTTCTTGACAAATTCAGCTTTCTTGTTTGTGACACTTGATCATTGTTCTATCACTGTTCTATCAGACAATTTAGTTTACAATTAGTAAAAAGTGAACCAAATGCTAAGATATAGGCTGGCTGTGTATATTGTTTAAGTTTTCTAGCACACCTTAAAATCAAGAAGGCTTCCTGGCCCACCATTAAGCTTTGGGGACCCCCAGTGAGGAACCTGAGGCCCAGGTTGAGAACCACTGCCTTAAAAGCACAATCCATGATCCAAATATAAACACAAGATATAGCCTCAAAATAAAAAAATATTATTTGAACTTACTAGCACTTTAAAATTGATTGATAACTCTTTTAATACAGGGATTAAAAGTGCTCTGGCAGTGTTGGTCTGTCCGTTGGTCGGTCAGCCTACTACTCTTTGGTGACATGTCTTTACAACTGTTAGACGAATTACCACCAAATTGTGTACTTAAAGCTGCTCAGCTACTCAGCTGTAAAATAGCAAATCTTAGCATGCTAACATAGGCACATTTTATTCTACCCTTGCTTCCAGCTACCTCTGTATTGAACACAGAGAGAACATTTATATTGATGTTCTCACCTAACCCCTGTTAAGAATATTTGTGAAATTGTTACTGTAAATTCAAGTTCAAGGCAGTCACACTGGGTTTTAGTAACAGTACAGTGGCACAGCAGCTGTGTGTGTTTGTGTGTCTGTGTGAGTCTGGGGTTCACTTGGCGTTAATGAGGCACACTGAGAGCCACGTTTGCATGACCACAACCATACACACACACACACACACACACACATTGTCTCTGCAGACCTGAAGTATCTCTCCAGGGTTATTTGGGGGATTTGTTCAGGATCAGAGGCTTCTCTCCCATTACAGGTCTAATTAGTTTCTTTTCAAGGCCTCTCTCCTTCTCTCCTTTCTGCTCCACAACAAATTCCCTGCTAACCTCCTGAAACCTACTTTCTTATTGACTCAAATTAGTTTTTTTACCCCCTCCCCACTTTAACCATTCTGAGCTCCCTGGATGAAGCATCTCACATTTACTGTTTCAATTCCAGCTGCTTTCCTTTCTCCCACTCACCTCACCCGCTCCACAACAAGAGTGTTGATTGTTGTCTGTCTTGGCTGCAAAAGTGTGCAATGTCACAGAGAGCGGGGAAGTGATGGGCACATTTCTCCCAGTATGCTCCGCTTCACTTTGACCCAGAGTCCCATGGGACTTAGTTATACTGCGCAGCGGGAGGTGGGTGGAAGATGAAAGCAGGAGGGTAACAGCAAGATTGAAAAAAGTTAGGAGAGGAGAAAAAAAATGGAAAAGAGCAAAAGGGGAGAGAGAGAGAGAGAGACAGAGAGAGAGAGAGAGAGAGAGGAGTCAACATTGAAGGATGGTTGGTTTGATGTGTGTGTGTGTGAAGTCTGACTGACGTAATATCTCAGTTAGCTTTTTTAGCATGTTACTGCTTTGTCATCTATTATCTGAATGTCATTGTGTGTTTTTTTTGTTCAAAGTAAGCAAAATAACACTTCACTGATCGGTTTCTCCTTGTTGATTGACAGTTGGCAGGAAAGAGTTTCAGCGGAGTTCAGATGTCACACGTTCTCTCCCATCCTCCCCAAAGAGGCTGGCGGTGGTTCCTCCCAAACCTCAGTCCCCAGGTCAGTATTACCAAAACACATCATACAAAAAGCACATATGCAAAGTTCCCGACAGCCGTCTTTAACCTCCTGCACCCAATGACAATGCAAAGTGCTTTTCAACTTTTTCACAGCAGACATTTTGACTTGTGTGACTAATAACATTAATTAAGACCCCATTCTAACTAACTGTCTCTATATGTGAGTGAGCCATCCTGCACAAATACCCTGAACTGTCTTCTGTAAAAGCAGCAATTTTTGATTTTCACAGCGGACATTTTGACTCATTAAAAGCATGCACAATAGGCCTTTTCACTGCAGACAGTTTGACTTGTCATAGCTGGAAAATCACAGGTGCAATTAATGACATAAATTATGGCTGCAGTCTAGACACTGAATTCTACTGAATAGAATGGCGTCATCATGTATGTCACCTTCCCAAACCTTTTCCACAAATAGTCCTCATATTTATGACCTCTTCTGTAATCCACTCACCGAAAGAAGCAGCTTGCATCTATCTCAAATATCGAGGGCTGGTCATACACTGCTTCAAAGAGAGATTCAAGATGCTTTCTTCTATGTTGTGATTCAATCCATACAGTCTGCAGAGGTACAACTTGTTTCCTACAGGATTGCAGAGGGCCTCATCTTTCCTTGCAGAGTTGACACATATCTCCTCAGGCTACACCTCTCTATGTGCTAACTTCACTATTTTTCACGAAAGTGCTGCTGATATTGTTCACCCTTCTCTTTACTGCATCTTTTGCTGGACCTTGCCTCCTCCCACACAGTCGTAAAATAAGAACATTTCCTTTTCATTCTCTCTGATTCTCAGCATTTTAGCTTTTCTGTTGTTTTTCAGATATTATCAGTTTATTGCTCCTCCTGAAACTCTTCTGGGCTGTGCCAGAAAAATGTCAAATGAAATGAAATAAATAACCTAGCCTCACCACCTTTAACCACACCCTAGCAAGAACAGACACACACACACACACACACTAGTCTCTGCATCCCACACGGTCTGCCATTACCTTCTCTCATTGTTTTTCACATTATTATTCCTCCTCCATAAACCCCACTGCTATCATCTGCATGCTGCCTTCACACTCAGTCACATAAACTCATTTGGTATTCACTCAACTCTCCCTAACCTTTCAGGTAAAGCCTACAGAAGTATGCATGCATTGCATGTGTGTGTGCGTGTGCGTGTGCGTGTGTGTGCAAAAGACATTTACATAAGACTTCTAGTCGTCTTCAAAGACGGTGAATCCTAATGTGCCTTCAAGGCAAAGACACTGATGAAGATGTAATATTGAAACATTTGCTGATATGTGCAGTTTGCACATTTTTAGAAGAAAGGCCTGGATTATTAGATACCATGGATATACATCTCCCTATATATTTATTTTTAATTCTTTTTTTTTTTTACAATTTTATGATTAGCTATTATATTTTTCAGAGAGAAATTCCCCCATTTCAGGTTTTATTTGCACACATACACTGGCAAGTATATATTTTCTCTAAATTGGCCTTAAACATCTATCGCTATTACAATCATTCAACGCCTTCAGGTACCCCTCTCTTACTGAATTCTTTGTCCTTCCACTCTCTTCTCTCCTTTACTCGTGGCCCAGAGCGCTCCCCTTATTTTATTCCCCCACCTCCCTCTAACCGATCTTTCACTCATTACCTGGGACCCTGCACCCCAAGCCCAGCCTCACGTTGTCATGGAGACCGCCCCTACACGCTTCAGTAGGCCTGAATGATATGGTTGAGGCAGGTAATGTGGAGCTGCAGTGATTTTGTGTGTGTGTTCGTGTGTGTGTACACATTAAGTATGTGTGAACACACAGAATGTACATTTTAAAAGAAATTTAAAAGAATTTATCTGAGTAATGCTCTGTTCTGATGCTGTGTGTCTCCACAGGCTTGTATGTGTTCACACCACATGACAAGGTGACTCACACAGAGGCTAATCTGACTGCCTGTATGTCAAGTGCTTAATGGTTGTGCCCCGCCCCCCCAGCCGAAAAATAGCTGCCACGTGTTCGTCTGGCCTTTAAATTACGTTTATCATTAATAGAGCCTTTACCTTACAACACAAGTACAACAAATAATATACTCATATAAATATAATTTAACAGTGTATTTATGTTATTGCATGCTACAGCTCAATCATTTCTTGATACTGATCACTTTCATCATAAGATTAGATGGTCCATCATGAGGAACACCAGACTGGGAATTACCCCAAGGCTTCCTCTGTAGAAAAGATTCAATTAACTTACTATCATTTATCATGTGAACACAGTCATTAGCAATAGGTCAGGTCAAATCTCCTCTGATTTAATACTCATCAATTCCAATAGTATAGCCAGATATGTCCTGGTTAGATTTAAGATTAGTACATGACTCCTTAATGCCATATTGAAGATACCGTATATATAATTTCAATATTTTTCTATATTATATGTATTTATAGGGATTTTCAGAAGGAACACATGCTCATGCAGAGTAATTTCAATTAATTTTCTATATTTGTTTCTTTTCCCTCCCTGCAGTCCAGAGTGGGCAGCGGCCCGCAGCAGCGGTGCGAGGGTCAGCTCCCCCGGGGTCCCCTCGCCGCGTGACCCCCCTGAGGCTGCAGCAGGAACAGCAGGAGAGCCTGCAGAGAGAGAAAGAGGAGTCTCAACAGAAAGACAGAGAAAGGAAAGCAGAGGAAACAGAAAAAGAAGAGCAAAGGGAGGAGGTGAGTTTTTGGGAAAATCTGTAGCACCACTTTGGGTCTGCTTTATTCTATTGTTTGGTTTTTTTTTTTAAATTCTATTTCATTCTTCTGTCACTTAGGTTCAGAGGCTGCAGGGACGATGTGAGCAGCAGGAGAGGCAGCTGAAAGCTCTAAGAGATGAACTGAGGAAGACTTCCTTGGGTCTGGAAGCCTTCATTATCACTACTCAGCATTACTGCCTCAAGGTAGCCCACTTGAATATACAATCCATACAATAATAATATTAATATACTTACACCATAATAATGCTGTCTTGCATTACAGGACAGGCTTATACAGAGCTCTAGTGTTATCATTTTCATCATCATGTCTATATCCCCCACAATCCCACATCTGATTAACTTGAGATGGTCTAAAGGTTATTCTATGCTCCTGTGTAGATAACACGGTGCCTCAACCTTTAATTCACTCCGAGCCCGGGTTGAGGAAAACACATGCTCACACACGTGAAATCAAGAACACATACAATATTCAACACCATGAGGTGAGATTCACAGCATGGTCCATGAACAGTGCGATGAGGAAGAGTGATTGCGACTGTGGGAAGGGTCCTTCAGAGTTCAGTGTGCCATTGAGCTGGTTTCATCCTGTCTGTGTGTCTGATGGAATGATTTAGCCTCCAAGGTGCTATAGCTGTAATACTGCTGTGAGGTGGTTGAGAGACTGTCTGACTTCTTTATGGTCACTGGGTGCTGCAGTCACTGGCCCACAGTGCTGATATACAGAAGAAGACAGGAATAGTGGGCCTATTTGAGTAGGTTTGAGCTCCCTCTGCTGGCATCAGTAAACACAACAGCTACAGTAGGGTTCAAGCATGTGTGTGATTTGAATCTGAAAATGTTGTTTATTTCCTACATTTCAGAATAAAACTACAGAGGAGAATCAAAGGAAATTGTCCTTGGAAATCCAAAAGATCAGAGAGGAAATGGGTGAGTAAAGATGAGAAACAAAATTTGACCAAAAAAGGTCTTTTTCACAACAGACATTTTGACTACCCATAGTAGGAAAAGCGCAGGTGTTACCAATGACATTATCAGTGGTTATATTCAAGTGTCCCAGTATCTTGTGACAGCGTGTCAATGAGC